CAAATTTTTTCTCATGATATTAGAATTCTGGTAAGTCATAGTGATAAAATCTATCTAGCAAAAATTTTGGAAGTTAGAGATAAAGTTTATCTAGCTAATATTTTGTGGGCATAATTGTCTTTAAGGTAATAATTAGGGGTGAAATAGAAAATCATAATTTTTTTGCAGATGTTGACATTTATATATATATAGGTACATATATAGATAGTATTAGAATTCTATGTGTATTGGCAAGTTATAGTGATAAAATTTATCTAGCTAATATATAGTTATCAAGTTTATTTAGCAAAATTTTTGGAATATTAGTAATAAAGTTTATCTAGCAAAAAATTTTGAAGTCATAGAGGTAAAGTTTATCTAACTAATATTTTGTGGGCATAATTGTCTTTAAGGTGATAATTAGGGGTGATATAAGAAATCAAAATTGTTTCACAAATTTTGATATTTATAAGTAGTATAGATGTATATATAATTGAGATAAATTATTGAATAAACATACATAGTTAGATTATTAATGAGATTGACATGAAATTAAACAAAAATTATTGAATAAAATGATTGGTCGATTATATTAGGTTGAAAGTTAACTTAAATTTGATAAAATTATTATTTTTTTATGAAATTTTTTTGGGATTCAAATTTTTAGATTAAATCAGATATTTGATTATTATCGAATGCAGATATGGTGATGTAGATTAGGAAGGGGAATAAGTGGGGATGAAAAGAGAAGAAAGAGATGAGATAATGAGAAGAATGAGATGAGATAATGAGAAGAATGAGATGAGAAAATCAGGAGAAAGAGAGGGAAGATTGGGAGCAAACAATATCAATAATCAATAATTAATCAAAAAGTGTCAAAATGAACAATAAGTCCCAAAAATAGTCAAAATGACAAATAATTCCTAATCCCGGCGTCTATGCCTACCATAACGAAAGACAATTCAATTCTCATCACTTTCCCCGGCTAAAAAGAACTTGTCTCCGGAGAGAGTTGATGGTGAAAATGCTCTAGAAGATTAGGGTCAAGCTGACAAAACTCTTCAGTAATCTATGAAGCATCGGTCTTTGGACGGTCTCTCCACCGAATAAAATAATGACGATACCCTCTATCAAATGAGTTAACAATCTGATCCTCAAGTACATTTGCACTTTGGTCATGCATCTGTGGTGAAAATAGTGGAATAATCGAAATTGTTGGTGATGTTGATGACGAAGCGACTCCACCTGTAGTAACACCAGTCGGCAACATGGGAGGCTCAAGAGTACCATGATGAGGAATCAAGTCCTCTATATTGAAAATATGACTAATATTCATATTCGAAGGTAAGTCAATGTGATATGCATTAGGTCCAAACTTACGAAGAATACGGACTAATGGTTCAAGCATACAACTTATAGAAGGAATTTTAAGGGGGTAGCGTTCAAGACGCACACGAACCACGACATAATCTCCCACATTAAATGTTCTATTCCTACCATAGTTGTTAGAATTGTACGATACGTCACGATACAGAAGTAAAACGATACGAATCGGAGTTTTATATTGTTTTTGCATAATATTGCCCGATACACGATACGTATCGGTCGATACGAACGATAAGCAAAGTCTCTATTTTTTTTTTTAATTAGAACGCACGGTAAATTAGCAAAAACAGAAATGAAAAGAAGAATTAACAGTTCACCAAACCCACAAATCAGCAAAAACACCTAAGCAAAAATAAAATAAATAAATTTTTAAAATTGAAAAAAATAGCAACACTAACCTGTAAATTTTGGATGAAACCTTAGGTTGGTTTTTCTTCAAAGCAAACTAATCACATTGGGACTCTTGGCTTTACTTAACGATGAATTTATTTTGAGCTCTAAAGTACGGTTAGAAATTTAGAATCTCAACTTGAATTGACAGAAAGGGTGAAAGTTCCATAAAGACTAGTTTTGCTTAGAATTCATGCCTTTATATTTTGTACTTTGCATTGGATTTGGTAGGTTATGAGTATTTCTATATTTTGTGTGTTTGAGATTACAAAATGTGGTGGCACATTTTTGTAAAAAGGCCAAATATCGTGCCGTGGCCCATTATGCATGTGAGATAATGTGGGTTCGCTTCCTACTTCTTGAGATGGGTGTTGATGTGCCGTCTCTTATGCCGATGTATTGTGACAACCAAACAACCATTTTTATTGTCAGTAGTCCAATATTTCATGAGCGTATTGAAAACATTGAACTTGATTATCATTTTATTCGAGATCTTTCATGAGAAAGGAGATTATTACTCTATATGTCAAGTCTAGTGATTAACTTGGTGAGGGAGAGGGTTGGAGATTTGATTTTTATAGTCCGGCTTTTGGAGAAATGTGGAAGATTTATTTTCCTATTATGTTTATTTTTTATTGTTAGAGATTTCCTTTCTTATTTTACTTTGCTATTATGTTGCTTTCTTTTTAGGTTCTACTTTTCTAATATTGAAATTGTTCTCAATATCAATCTATACTACTAATAAAAGTACCTTAACATGAAAAACTTTTAATTCACTATTTTACCTTCATATATAATTAAAAAGGTCATTCTATCCTTCCACACTTAATATCTAAATTACCATTATATCTTTATGCATTTAAATCTCTAAATAACATCTAAGATCACTTTTAGTTATGTATTTTCTATATATAAATATCAATTTCTATGAAACTTTTTGATTGATCTCTAAATTACATCTGAGATCACCTTTAGTTATATATTCCCTATATATAAATGTCAATTTTTATGAAACTTTTTGATTGATTATATTACTTTTAAAAAATATATGCGTCGTTATAAGTTTTAACAAATATTCAAAAAAGCCTTCAAAAATTCCATCATATAATATTACTCACCTTATTTATAAATATAATATTATGACTACATATTTATATTTTATTTTTCTTCAAAATGTTTATCTCTTTCATTTTTAAGATATAAAAAAATATATATATATAGTTTTACATGATTTTTTAGTCGTAGTAAATTTTTCAGACTTTGTTAAGATTTTTTGTGAAAATTTTATTTTTTTAAAAAAAAAATTTAATATGCTTTATAATATATATTATAGAATTGTATATTAAATTTGATTCCAATTAATCTAAATAATCCTAAATACAGTCAGATTCCAATATGATTGTTATATTGATAATTATTTTTATTTTATTCAATAATTTATAAGTAGAATTTTAATTAAATTAATTTTTTAATTATCTATTCTCTATTTATACATGTCAATTTTTATGAAACTTTTTTATTGATTATGTTATTCTTAAAAACTATATGCATTATGTTAAATTTTAACAAAATTTTCAAAACTCCATCAATATAATAATACTCATCTCATTTATAAAGATAATATTATGTCTACATATGTATATGTTATTTTTCATCAAAATGTTTAACCATTTTATTTTTAAAATAAAAAATAATGTATATATAGTTTTACATGATTTTTTAGTCGCAGTAAATTTTTTAAATTGTGGTAACATTTTATGTGAAAACTTGAATTTTTAAAAATTTTTAATATATTTTATAATATATATTATGATGTTGTATATTAAATTTTATCTCAATTGACCTAACTAATCCTAAATACAGTAAGTTCTAATATGATTGGTGTACTGATAATTATTTTTATTTTATTCAATGATTTATAAGTGGAATCTTAATCAAATTAATTTTGAAAAATTTAATTTTCAAACATCACCAAAAAATCACTTTCAATTACAAAATTATAGAAATAAAATAGAACTTTAATTATTTCTTTTTTTTTTTATTATTTTTCTTAAAGTTAGAACAATAACTCTTGAAATATACAAAGTTTTTAAAAATTTTATAGTGGAGCAGGAGAGCTAAAAAAATAAATTTGGTAAATTTGAGATAATTTTTAATTCAAGTACCCATATACCAAATATATATTTATTAATTTTTTTTAAGAAAAATTATTCACGTGCAACGCACGTAGTGCATTGCTAGTCTAATATAAATAGGTGATAGGGTGTTCGTAATTATTTTCTCAATCTCTTTCTCTCTTCTTTTTCTTCTTCTTTCTCCTAAATCTAAATTCTAGTACTTGATTATTTGAGTTTCAACTCTGTCCAAGATGTTAAAATTAGGTGGCGTTTGTGTTTTGTAGACATGTCATTTTGTTTGTTGAACATTTGCAATTGCTTCTTGAGCATTTTTTATTGGAAGTTTGCAAGTTTATCTATATTTTTGGTTTAAAGAAATTTTTTTTTATGGCACATTGGCTATAAATGAGGCCTAAATTTTGTTGAACTTTGCAAAGAATAGCCAGTTGAGGGCTGTATGGCACTGTGATAAAAACCATAATGTTGGAAGGCACAGAGAATTTTTGGATGTGGGATTATATGATATATGGATGGTATAATAATTTACCAAAGTAGAACACTTAATATGGTGAGAACTATATACGGAAAGAGAAATGAAGCCTTGTAAAAACAGCACCTGAACCTAAAGCAGTGCCACTGGCTAGCTATCATCACAAAAGAGCAGATAGAAATGAAGTCTTGTGAACAACGACACCACTAACCAAAGGAGTACCACAGGCTAGTCATTGTTACCATTAGGAAAGAGCGGATGAAGAGGGTGATGTAAGAGAGTTGCACAACAAATGAGAAGCAATCTAGGATGCATTACCACTTGACTTGAACAATTTTAGAATAAACAATAACTAGCAATTGGGGTCCCTCTGTGGGTACTAAAGCCAAAATGCTACCAATAAATAGTCAGACTGTCTAAAGTGATTTATCTAGTGTTAGAACCTCTTGAATTTCTCTCATTCTCTTCGTCATCAAATTACAAGGTTACTGAAAGTTGTGCTTAACAACTTGGGTTGTAATTTCCAATTTCATTCTCGGAACAGATTGTTACTTGAAAGATGTGCTTACCAATATCTGTGGTAATTTTTGGCTTCTTCCTTCAAAAAGATTGTCATCTAGTGTATATTGTCGTAATTCATGCTTACTTGCAGCGGTGCAGAGGGATCTACTGGAAATTCAAGTGACCTTGATAGCGTTATTGCATCAATCAAGGATTTTGATATTACACCTGAAAACACGAGGTTGTTCTTGCCCCAGGTTAAGTGGGAGAAGTTGGCTTCCATGTATGTCCCAGGCCGATCTGGCTCAGAATGTGAAGCAAGGTAACTGCAATGATTTTTCAAGATAATGCTTAATTGTATGCTTTGATATATATAGCTCTTATGCATTTTCTGGTAATGTATTGAATTTATTTGCATACGTAAGAATGTGATGGGGATATATCATGTTGCACACATGCTGAATTCAAAAGCTCAATGTAGAGATGTATCATGTTGTTTGGTGTTGAGAATGCTAAGATAAGTAAAGAAGAGAGAATTAGAGGCAGATGATGACAAGTTGATGAGGAGAAGTACATTTCACCCTCATCGGCAAAGTCAGGCCAACAAAATTTTCAATTTGCATAATTCACTTCACTAAGTATCTACAACAGCACTTGTATGATGCTGTAGAGTAGCTTGGATGAGAAGATTTCAGGAGTTACTACATCAATGGCTCAAGTTAGACCCTCGCATGAGAATCCTGATCTAGCTGATTCAGATGGTTTGTGGGTGATTGTGCGCATTTGAAGTTTGCGTTGCAGCCTCAACCCTCAAGTCAAAGTGCATGTGGTTAGGATAGTTTTCCATTACCAGCAAGAAAATGTTAATCCAAATTTGAGTAGAAGGCTTGAACTTTCTACATGTTGGGCATAAAGCGTTTAGCTTCACTTAATCCTTTAAACTTGTATACCATTTGACCTGAAAATACATCAGCCCATAGACAAAAGCCCAAGACTCAAACCCAACCCAATACGGAAATAATAAAAATACATTTAACTCCTACTACTTAATGGCAACATTTAATTATTAGAGCCACTTATTTATCTTGATGTAACCGGCAATGGAGATTCGAAATTGCGATGCAAAATTCCCACTTTTCTCTAATTGTTATTAGATTGCTCTGCATTACATTTTCAACAGTGAGATGCAACTCGATGGCAATGTTAACCAAGGTCAATGGGGGTGGTAGAGATTCTACCACCTTGGACATGTGGTTCATTTTCATTACACTTAATAATGGCCCAAACTTCCTATAATTTCAGCACCATGTAAATGCATATGTCAAAGTCTCATTACATTCTCTTATTTAAATCCTCACTAGAGTACTAAAACGACCAATCATTCTCACTATAACTTATATTCAAAAAATGATCTCGCCTTACACACTGTAAATCAGATCTCATCTACGTTGAAGTCTTCTGTCAAGTGGCTGGAGAAAGCGCTTTTTCTTTCCTTGCTCCTTTCTTTTCAGTTTTTTTTGTTGGGCGTGAGGGGGATGAGGTTTATTGAAGGTTGGCTACTAATGCGGAGAAAAAATTTAGGATACCAGCGGAGTAAACGCCGACCATAATCCTTGTAATGTCAATGCTGTTGTAATTCGTGATTTAGGGAAGCATGCTCAGTCGACTACATAAGAGGTCTTTAAGAGCATTTCTGATGTTGGATTGCTAATTTCATCCTTTGTGTGTTACTCAGCTTTATGAAAATTTCTCAGATATCCTGGATAGAATAGAAGCACTCTGAGGGGTAAGTGTATCAGAAAGGGCCTTCCTGAGAATGTGCAAAGAATTGAGCTGTAATTGAGGGTTGATTGACAAGCTTGTTAGCTTGACATCTCCTCATCCTTTTCCAGGTAGTGGAAGTGGAGTGGCATGTTCCTCTGTAGTCATCTGCCCCTCAATGCTGCAACTTTTTTTCCCCCCCCTATGTTCCTTTAATGGAATTGTAATGTTTCTTTACCCTTTTTCTTCAAATGGAAATAGTTTCTCTCTCTGCCATTATCTCTCTATTGGATTTTCTAATTTGGACTCAGTTTGCTTCTATTTAATTGTGTGAAGTGCTGAATATTCTTTTCTTTTGCTTATTTTTTTTATATAGCATATATGGTAAAATCAATGTAGAATCTCAGTCATTTCTGACAACCACAATTTCAGACACCTTTGCCATTATTGGATTTGAATAATAGCACCCATTAACCCATGGGCCAGGTCTGACTAAGCATGACATGTGCTTACTCAGAAGTGCAGAATGTACCTTTCACATGGAGCCCATCATAGACATCTGCTATTCTCTTTTAGTTTTGGGTTTTTCAATCATATTTACTATGTGAACCTGTTGTTCTTCGTTTTTCTCCTTTTGGCTGATGTGTGTGATACATTTCTGCAGATGGTTGAATTGTGAAGACCCCTTAATCGATCACCATCCATGGACTAGTGTGGAAGATAAGAATCTTCTGCATATTGTCCAACAAAGGGGGATCAGCAACTGGATTGATATTGCAGTATCATTAGGAACAAACAGAACCCCATTTCAGTGTCTGGCACGTTACCAAAGAAGTCTCAATGCTTCGATAATGAAAAGGGGGTGGACTGAGGACGAAGATGAAAAACTTCGTGCTGCAGTAGAAGTTTTTGGCGAGAGTAGTTGGCAGGATGTTGCTTCCAGTTTGGAAGGAAGGACAGGTACCCAATGCTCTAATAGGTCAGTTAACTTGCTCAATGATGATATTGAGTTCTCATTGAATTTTGGTTGAACCCATATGTTCAATTAGGCAGAGTAGTTGACATTGCAATATGCTACTTAAATAACTAAATTGAAAATGAGCATTGAAGTTCTCCTATATAAATTCATGTGCATCATCTTGATAATCTAAATATTAGGTGTGCCATTTTGGTCTTGTTAATGGTGCCTCACTGCCTTGTATTTGTAATTAGACAGATTATGAATTGTATCTGATAGGATGTGGTAATAACTAATAATAAATCACTGACATATTCTGAAGCACAGGGCAGTGCAAAGAATTTTAATGAGTCCAATCTTAGTGATGTAACACAAGTGTGAGAAACAATTGTCTATAAGTTTTGACACCAAACTTATTGTTGGGCAGCAAAAGAAAAGGTCTTTAGGGGCTGATTATGGTTTAGTTTGAAAATTTATTGGTAGCAAATTTTTCAAAACAATGCCCTCTTCATGTTCTGGACAGCATGCGATTAAAGAGTTTTCCTTGTAATTTTCAAAGGATAGGATAAGGGATTATGGGGATTGAGGATCAATGCAATAAGCTTTCGGCTTGAAATATGTCCGATTGTAAGTACTGTGAATGGTATCCCTTTTTGATTTTCTTAGGTGTTTTAGGTTCTAGGGCTTTGGAGAATAGGTTTAAATTCTGATTGTGAAAGAGGAGAATGCAGAAGAAGAAAATCCTAGGAATCCCATGTAAATCCCATCGAAATTTTCTCCCAAGGCAAGGTTACATTAGGAATAAAAGTTCCACAAAACTATCAGAAGTAAATTCATATTTGTTTCCTTGAATTGAAAGAGTGCATAGTTGTGGAGTAGTATATGAAAGTTTATTTCTGTGCAATGGATAGCACTAATAATTCATGGACCACCAGCGGAGTTCATAAAAGAAACCAAAAAATGTCCGCTACAAAAGCTGCCCCCTCTCTCCTTATCTCTATTTGCTGGCTGTTTGCAGATCAATGTTACCAGGATCGTGAGTCGCTTTGGTACATGGTAAGGGTACGAGTACATGGTACGATACTTTCTTAGGTACGCGGTATAATGAGAGTTGGTTTTGTTGGTATGATATTTTAGGTCATAATTCGTTTTAGAACTCTTATGTAGATCGTTTTTACTATTATACAACATTATATATTACTGAACATTCATAAACACATAGTTAGTTACCATTTATCTTATAGTTGTACTTAATTTTCTATTATCTAAAATAATATATAATTATACATCTGTATACATGTAGTCAATTAATATGTATTTTGTATTGTGCTATATGTTCTAAAGCGAATTGATTTAGGGTTAGTATTACAATTTGTGGTCGTCAATTTTAATGATTTGGATCGCGAATTCACCTTGTTTGGGATCGATGTACCTAGATCGTGGGTCGTTAAAGGTTTTAGTGAATTGTGGCAACATGAACAACACTTTAATAAGAACAAAGTCGGATTGGCACTATTCGTTTGAGGTTCTTCCATAGATCCTTGTTGTCACACCCTAACTGACTTAAGTGCAAATGGCCGGTTTTGGTGACACCTTGCACCAAGGCATGCCATAAGTTGGAATCAAGGTGACGCGGCTAAGTGGTTCGACAGATTGGGGCGAACCAAAGTAGCATGAGAACACCCAGTTGAGCATGACAGCACATGGTGGGCTCAATTGAAGCAATGTGGGTGCATAGCTTCGGATTGCATGGCATGGGTTGAACCCAGCATGCATATTGGTTTGTGAAGTAAGGCTGACTGTTGAATGTAGGCACATGACTGACACATGGCTGCTTAATGCATGTGACCAGGAGGATGTGGGCAGGTAAGAATGCTGAGACATAGTCAAGGCAGTTGCTGAGACAGTTCTGGCCGTCCCTAGTCTGAATCCAGTCCAGATGCATGTTGATGAAGGACAGTTCCACATCAATTACTGAAAGGGGTGGAACTGCCTGTCAGGTGTCGCACAGAGACCAAGTCTGCTAGCCAAGTATGCTATGGAATAGCACAAACGTGTGTAACTACCCCTTGGCAGATGGGGGTGTCATCTGCCTTACTCCTGTATAAATAGGGGTGTTTGAGCATTCTGATAGGCAGAGAGTGTTCTGGCTTTGAGAGTTCCTTGTAAATTGTTGAGTTCAATATATAAGGTTTGAGAGTTTTGTCCTAGTAAATTCGTGTGTGCCTTCTGTGTGAGTTTCTGTCCCTTTGTGAGTGGCTAGTTGCAATAGCAACGCCTTCACAAGTAGCCTTGAAAGAAAAACGGAAGTTATCCTGTGACAGTTTGGTATGAGAGCCAAGTTTTGGCAACAATCAACTATGGCTGGTGGAACGAATGCTGATCTGAGGGAAAGTGTGGCACGTTTGGAGGAGTTGGTTGGTTCTCCACAGTCCGGTGATGCTGTGGCTCTCTCTGTGCAACTTGAGTTGCTGTATCAGCGGTTTGAAGAGATGCGGGTTGCATATGAACAACTTCAAAAGATTGAATCTGATCACTTCAATCGAGTGAAAAACAAAGTCGTTGACGTGCTGGCTACGATCTCCACATGGACTGATGAGATGGGGGAAAAATTGAGTTCCCTTGAGACAGACGTTTCAGTGCTCAAGAAGGCACTGCAGAATGCTTCCTTGGCTTCTGGCAGTGAAAGTACTCAGAAAGCCAAAGTGCCTGACCCAAAGCCTTTCACAGGCAGTCGTAATGTTAAAGAACTCAAGAACTTTCTTTGGGATATAGGGCATTACTTCAAAGTAGTCCGCACTTCGGATGCTAAGAAGGTAGATCTCACTAACATGTATCTGTCTGGTGATGCTAAATTATGGTGGCGAATACGTTCTGAGGACAAATCTTATCCTCCAATTACTACTGGGGAGTCTCTGTCCGCTGAAATGAAGGAGCAATTCCTTCCCAGCAACACGGCTTGGCAAGCCCGTGATGCATTGAGGAAACTTCGACATACAAGCACCGTGAGGGAGTACGTGAAGCAAGTCTCATATTTGATGCTTGACATCAAAAATATGTCAGAAGAAGACAAGTTGTTCAACTTTATGTCTGGCCTCAAAATTTGGGCACAGGCAGAACTTTGTCGGCAAGGGGTGAAGGACTTACCCGCTGCTATGTCCGCAGCAGACGCGCTGGTTGACTACAAAACACAGGCTAACTCTCTAGAGAAGGAGTCAAAAGGGAAAGCCAAGTTCCCTAAGAAGGACAAACAAAAGAAAAAGGCTGAGAAGTTGGCAATTCAGAAAAACTGACTGACAAAGCCTCTTCATCAAAGGGAGGTGCTGACTCAGGTTGTTTTATCTGTAATGGCCCTCATCGTGCCAGAAATTGCCCCAAGAAGGAAAACTCAGTGCCCTCATGGCTGAGGATACTGATTGTTCTGACGAATCAACACGAGTCAATCCATTACAACTCTTTAATGCAATTCGCAAAGAGGAGACAGTGGCAAAGAGGGGGTTAATGTTTGTGCAGATTCGCCTGAATAATGTGGCTGTCCAGGCAATGGTTGATACAGGTGCAACCCATAATTTTGTTTCTGACTGGGAAGTACAGCGGCTTAGTTTGTCTTTGGTGAAAGACTCTAGCCAGATTAAGGCTGTTAATTCAGAAACAAAACCAGTAGGCGGTGTCGCAAGAGAAGTCCCTTTAAAAGTTGGTGATTGGCAAGGATCATGTGATTTTATGGCAGTACCTCTCGATGATTTCTAGGTAATCCTTGGACTGCAATTCCTTACAAAGGCAAAGGTGTCTGTTACATTCTGTTTACAGGGGATGTTTGTGATGGACATGCCCAATCCCTGCTTTGTTCTCCTCACTAAGGCCAAGTCTTCGGGGGAAATTCTGTCTGCCTTGCAAGTAAAAGATGGCTTGCGGAAGGGGGAAACAACATATTTGGCTGTTTTATTTGAGTAAGAGGAGTCCAAAGCATTGCAAGTCCCTGAACCAGTGCAACAGTTACTGGTTGAGTTCAAGGACGTGGCACCTAAAGAATTGCCAGTAAGGTTACTGCCAAGACGGGAGATTGACCATGCCATCGAGTTGATTCTAGGGGCAAAAATCCCTGCCCAGGCTCCTTATCGAATGTCTCCATCAGAGTTGGCGGAGTTAAAGAGACAGCTTGGGGGTTTATTGGACATTGGATTCATTCAACCTTCCAAGGCACCCTATGAAGCCCCTGTTCTGTTTCAAAAAAAGGACGGATCCTTACGGCTTTGTGTAGACTACAGAGCCCTCAACAAAGTCACTGTCAAGAACAACTATCCAGTGCCGCTTGTTGACGAATTGTTTGATAGATTGGGAAAGGCGATTTTCTTCACCAAGATGGATTTGTGGCTGGGATATCATCAAGTCAGAATTGCAGAGAGAGATGAGGCGAAGACTGCTTGTGTGACAAGGTATGGATCATATGAGTTTTTAGTCATGCCTTTTGGCTTAGCCAACGCCCCTGTTACATTCTGTAACTTAATGACCAACGTATTTCAGGAATACTTGGACCGTTTCATGGTGATTTATTTGGACGACATAGTAGTTTACAGCCAGACTCTTGAGGAGCATGTTGAGCATCTTAGGCTGGCCTTGATAAAGTTAAGGAAAGTCCAGTTGTATCTGAAACCAGAAAAATGTGAGTTTGTCCAAAAGAAAATTTCTTTCCTTGGGCATATTATTTCTGCGGGTGTGGTGAAGATGGACCCGAAGAAAGTTGAGGCCATTGCAGATTGGCCTGTCCCTACTAAGGTTACTGAACTGCGTTCTTTCTTGGTTTGACAAACTATTATCGAAAATTTGTGAAGAATTATTCAAAGAAGGTCGCGATGTTGACTGATCTTCTAAGGAAGGATAGGACATGGAACTGGTCTTACGAATGCCAGGAGGCATTCGATTGATTGAAAGCGGTGGTGACGTTTAGCCCAATTTTACGGTTACCAGACTTTGATTTGCCTTTTGAAGTCCATACAGACGCATTAGACTTTGCTCTTGGAGGGGTGCTAGTGCAGAATGGGCATCCGGTGACATTTGAAAGTAGGAAGTTGAATGATATCGAGAGGCGGTATTCAGTACATGAGAAGGAGATGACAACAGTCATTCACTGCATCAATGCATGGAGGTATTACTAATTGGGAAAGCATTTCCTTGTATTGACAGATAATGTGGCTATTAGCTGTTTCAATTCCATGAAAAAGCTGACACCAAAACAAGCAAGATGGCAGGACTTTCTTGCCCAGTTTCATTTCACGTTGCAGTACAAGCCTGATAGTGCAAATCAGGTTGCTGATGCTGTTAGTCGAATCCCAGTTGTTGATGGGACGGTCGCTGCACTTAGCCAGATTGCAGGAGACATATTGCAGAGAATTCAGGATCAGACAAAAGATGATCTAGTGACCAACTTATTGTTGAAGTAGGTCCATAAAGGGGTGACTCGGCGGTTTTGGGTAGATGATGGTGTTCTCTACGCCAAAGGAAGGAGACCCTATGTGTCGAAGTCAGGCGGATTTCGACAGATGTTGCTGAAAGAAACTCATGATGCTCTGTGGTCAGGACATCCAGGGCAGCAATGGACTCTTGCCTTGCTAGCAGAAAGCTATTATTGGCCCCGCATGGAAGTAGATGTGGAGCTGTACGTGCGCACTTGTTTGGTGTGCCAGCAAGACAAGATAGAAAGGAAGAAGGTGACGGGTACGTTGGAACCCCTCCCTATTCCAAGCAGACCTTGGGAGAGTGTTTCCATGGACTTCATTAATGGCTTGCTTCAGGTGAACGATTTTACTTCGATATTTGTGATTGTAGACAAATTTTCAAAGTATGCCACTTTCATTACTGCCCTAAAAGTATGTACGACGGAAGTTACTGCTCAGTTGTTCCTCAAGCATATTGTGAAGCTTTGGGGTCTTCCGCTGGACATAGTCAGCGACAGGGACACTCGGTTTACTGGCCGGTTCTGGACAACTTTATTTGAATTGTTGGACACACAGCTCAACCTTTTCACGAACAATCATCCGAAGACAGATGGGCAGACTGAGCGGGTTAATACAATGCTGGAGGAATATCTCAGACACTGTGTCATAGCGAACTAGGACAATTGGGTGGATTTACTTGATGTAGCCCAATTCAGTTATAACCTCCAATAGAGCTCTTCCACTGGAATGAGCCCATTTGAGTTGGCGACTGGCCAACAGCCCCTTACCCCGCATGAAGTTGTCAAGTAGAAGTCTCAAGGGAGATGTCCTGCAGCATACCGCTTTGCTTGGGCCAATCAAGAACGGACCGATGAGGCAAAAAATTGTTTAACTAAGGCGGTGAAAAGGATGAAAAAGTGGACAGACGAGAAGAGGAGGGCAGTAGAGTTCGAAGTGGGTGACAGTGATGCTGAAATTGACCCCACCAATCTGGAACAAGATCTCTCGAAAGTCTGCACACAGGGGACTAATCCAGCGCTATGACGGCCCTTTCCTTATAACAATGAGGATTGACAGGTTGGCCTATAGGCTGGATCTTCCCAGTCGTCTCAAGCTTCATCCAGTTTTCCATGTTGCTTTCTTGAAGCCTTATATTGAGGACCCAAAGGACCTTAACAGGTACGTTCGGCTTCGGGCTTCTCCAACAATCAGGAAGCAATTCACAGAAATAGCTGAAGCTATCCTTGACCACAAGATTGAGGGAATGTGTAAGAAAAACAGAAGAACTCATTACCTAGTCAAGTGGAAAGGAAAAGCGCTGGAGGAAGCCACTTGGGAGAAAGAGACGACATTGTGTCAGTTCGAGGATCTCATCAAGCAATACCATGCTTCCATTCCAACGAGGTCGTTGGATACTTCAGGTGGGGGTGGCTTGTCACACCCTAACTGACTTGGGTGCAAATGGCCGGTCTTGGTGGCACCTTGCACCAAGGCATGCCATAAGTTGGAATCAAGGTGACGCGGCTAAGTGGTTCGACATAATGGAGCGAACCCAGGCAGCATGAGAACACCCGGTTGAACATGGCAGCACGTGGTGGGCTCAATTGAAGCAATGTGGGTGCATAGCTTCGGATTGCATGACATAGGTTGAACCCAACATGTACATTGGTTTGTGAAGCAAGGCTGGCTGCTGAATGTGGGCACATGACTGACACATGGCTACTTAATGCATGTGACCAGGAGGATGTGGGCAGGTAAAGATGCTGAGACATAGTCAAGGCAGTTGCTGAGACAGTTCTGGCCGTCCTTAGTCTGAGTCCAGTCCAGATGCATGCTGATGAAGGGCAATTCCACATCAGTTACTGAAAGGGGTGAAACTGCCTGCCAGGTGTCGCACAGAGACCAAGCCTGCTAGCCAAGTATGCTATGAAATAGCAAAAAAGTGTGTAACTACCCCTTGGCAGATGGGGGTGTCATCTGCCTTACTCCTGTATAAATAGGGGTGTTTGAGCATTCTGATAGGCAGAGAGTGTTCTGACTTTGAGAGTTCCTTGTAAATTGTTGAGTTCAATAGGTTTGAGAGTTTTATCCCAGTAAATTCGTGTGTGCCTTCTGTGTGAGTTTCTGTCCCTTAGTCTTGAGTTTGTGTGGCTGGTTACAATAGCAACGCCTTCACAGGTAGCCTCGAAAGAAAAACGGAAGTTACCCTGTGACACTTGTGTACTATGCTGGAGCTTTCTTCGTGGTTGAATCTTTCGAATACTAGTAGGACAGAGTCCCCGAGTTAGGAAAATAATGAACTTTTTGTCTATTGACTACTCAAGACACATGTATCCTGTATGACTCTAGATGAAACAAAACAAGATGAGTAGATCCAAAAAGTTGTGGATAGGACCCATGTCCGGCAATTATTAGAAGACAAAAATCCTCGACTCTAAAAATATTTAACAAACATAAATGAAATAATTGAACATCTTATTGACCTGCAACTAACAACAAATATAAGTCAACCCTGGATGTGATGACATGTGCTACCAAGCCTACTAAATGCAAAATTCTATACTCTTCCTTCTTGTGCACATTTTCTGCATCATTAATTTCATTGATTTGGATGCTCTCTATATCAAGTCACTTCTATCAATTCTCTTGGGACCTTGTTCTTTTTACAAATTAGTGAATTCTTCTAAAGGCAAGGGAGATTTAACTTTCAGTGAATTCACTTGGTTGATCTGTTATTTATTTGCTTTTCCACTCTGTTTTGGTGCTAAATGTTACTTGGAAATTGCTTTCAGTAGCTTTTGTTGTTTGATTACATTTACCATTCTTTCGGCATGAGCTTGTTCTCAAAAATGTCTTAGAGATCCCAAAAGTGACATACAAACTTTTCAGTTTTTCCCCAATGGACATACTGCATCATAAATGTAACGTACATGTATAAGTTTACGAGTACAGCGGCAATGAAAACACTTACAAATGCCCTTATATAATTATGCCTATCTATGAATCATGGACATTTCTAAGAAGTTGACGGACACCAACACTTGGGGACTCGCATACACGTCTGTTCGGGGGTATCCATAATTTAAAATGAAACTTTAATCTAGGACACTTCTTACACTCTTTTGGTGATTTGTCTGACTTTTTAGGCTGTATCTGAATATATAAGAAACAGGGGGTGGACACTTTAAGACTCTTGCTAATACGTGATTAACAAAGTTTAGACCTTTGACATATGAGTCTCTTGCCCCTCAAAAAAATTTACACCTTTGAAGACTAATTATTTTAAGCCTTACTTATAATTTGCTTAAAAAACAGAAGACATATAAAGGTTTCTTTAACTGGCTATATGAAATGGATGATGATTGACTACTATGATCCATTAGCTTAAAATTTTAGGTCAGAGTACTAAATATAATATGGAAAAGATTTTCTGATGTAAAACCTTTTGGCATTTACAGAATATGATTTCAGTCGTTGGCTATGTACTGTAACGTCCTGAGATGTGATTATTGAACCAAAATTAGCTTCCCAGGTAACCCTTTCTGGATGCATAGAATTTTATCATTCTTCGGTATAGGAGTGTAATATGTTCAACACTTTAGCCAAAATTGATCAAGCTTAGTGGCAAAGTTTCTGGATGACATCTCAAGAGGAGCATGAATATGAGTATGATTCTTATCTCTGTCAGGTTAAAATATGTTTACGGTAACATCTTTACAAATCACCCCAGATGAATAAGAAAATAAGAAAAGGATGAAGAGGACACATTAAATTTTTTAAAAGTGAAACACAATCTTCATTATAGTCAAAAGTTGCATTTGCATTTTGGAGTACTGAGTTGTGGACAGATTTGTAAATTCTTGATGCTGGTGAGTTAAAATGGTTAAGTTCCAGCTGTAGAGCCAGATTGTACATATTGTAACTTAATCCTTCTCATTCCAAGGCATTAATCAGCTTTTATATGTGTCATTTTAGATGGCGTTCCTTTATATAGCAGTATGTAAAGCACATTGTTTGCTAAAATATACAAATTAGAATTTTCAAGGCCCTATTTGGTTAAAATTAGGGTTTTCTAAATTGTGCTTAACAAATTCAAAGTGCTACTTTTAATGCATCTACTATGTCTCATTTCCAGTAGGTCAGTTGAATGACTTTAAAAGTTATGGCCTTGTGTGATTTCATGAAATGCAGATGGAAAAAATCCCTTCACCCTGGCAGGCAAAGGGTTGGGAGATGGACTCCAGAAGAAGACAAACGCTTGAAAGTTGCTGTGATGCTTTTTGGGCCCAAAAACTGGAAGAAAATTGCTCAATTTGTGCCTGGGCGGATGCAAGTGCAATGTAGAGAAAGGTACTGCATATTTATCTCAAACTGAGTTCTGATGCAGTTAATTTGATTCAGTTATGTTGTTGCTATGTTTTGGTGGCAGATGGGTGAATTCCTTAGATCCTTCATTAAATTTGGATGAATGGACTGAAGCAGAGGATTCAAAGTTGAAAGCGGCAATTGCTGAGCATGGATATTGCTGGTCCAAGGTTGCGGCATGTGTTCCACCACGAACTGATAGTCAATGCCGAAGGTATGTAGTTTTGGATACTCAAGGATGGACAAGATGCTATTCCTGTTTTTTTTTTTTGGATTGGACATGTTTGTTGCCCAAGTTTGTCAGTTCTGAACTTCTATTCTATTTGATGTCCCGTGTGACCAGGAGGTGGAAGGTTTTGCTGCCACATGAAGTACCTATGCTCCAAGCCGCTAGAAATATACAGAAGGCTGCTCTGATATCCAACTTTGTAGACAGGGAGTCAGAACGACCTGCCCTTGGACCCAATGATTTTGTTTCTTTACCACAGATAGAGTCAGTTCAAGAATCTGAAACTGTAAATCCTTCTGGGAAACGAAAGAGGAAATCGCGGTGAGCTGTTTGAGCATTTTATCTTGGTTTGTTTTGTATTACTGCATTAAATGCATAAAAATGATTATTTTGTTTGCACAGACGGAGGAATGAACATACTGGTGAAAGCACAATTTCTGGGTAAGTTTGTCTTCCAGTACACCCCTTGCTCTGTTTTCAACTTTGTCTTTGGGGGATACAACTCACTGTTAATACATTTACAATTGACAATATTTTTGGATACTCTTGGTATCATCCCCTTAGCTAGTCACACAACCAGATTTTAGTACTATTGTAGTCTCTACTCTATATCATTTGTTGCATCACATGGCATCTGATCTTTTCTTCCTCGTAAATTTGCAGTGGCATTTGTTTGGAGGAAGTTCCATTGTTAACCGACTGCAATGAGTTTGAGAACTTGAATGGTGAAGATGCTATTCCAAGGAACAAAAGAGCGAAGAGGCCACGTTCAAAGAGCAAAATTTCTACTGGTCCAACACCAGATCATTTCTCACCTTGGCCAGATACAAACTTAGCAATAGCCAATGGTGACGAGGTTGGGATATCTGGTGGGTACAAGGCTTTAAAGAAGAAAAAAGCTCCGGGTCAACAAAAAAGGAAATCAGAGTATGCCATTTAGTCATTTTGGTTTTACTGTTTATCATGTTCACCATATAGATTCTGGCTAACTCCTCTCTTTTTGCAGAGGCAGGCTGAAATCTAGGAAAATCAGCACAGCTTTGGGGTATGACGCTCTTTGCAATGGGAAGAGAGTAAGGGAACCATGTTCAAATGACAATGAAGGAAATGATCCAGAAAATCATAATCCTTCTTGGACAGATCCAAATTTGTTAATAATTACCAATGGTGAAGAGGTTGGGAAGTTCAGAAGGGACAATGTTTCCAAGAGTAAGAAGGCTTCTAAACTGCATCCCAGAAAGAATAGATGTAGGGAACCACTCGAGGATGTTCCCAGGAGTAATAAATCCAGCGAGGTTGAGACCTTTGGTGGTGATGATTTGCATTCAGAGAAGAATAAAAATACTGATCCATTGCTACATCATTCATCATCTTATCCAAGTTCTGTGCTGTTGATGGCAACTGATGAAGCTATTGGGGAAAATGGTAGAAATGATGCCCACCAGAGTTTTCAGCCAGACTCCACAGGTTTGGGGATAAGGACAGCTGATGGTGATGGAAGTGAGACCTTTGGGGGGGATATCACCACACCTTTGAGGTGTTCGACACCTGATATTCTGGAAAGTGGGAACTCGAGAGCACCCTGTGTTAGCCAACAATATAGGGCCAAAGGCTCAAAGAGGAGAGATCGAACCTGCTCTAATTGGTTATTAGAGTCACAAGATGGTGATGAGATGACCCTTGCTTCCTTTCTTGTACAATCACATGAATGCCGGAATTCGGCATTGGCCCCTAAAAAGGTTGCCAAGTTATGCTCGAAGTTTGGTGCAAGAAGAAAATCAGTGGATGGCTCCCCAAAAATCTCATTACCTGTAAAGTGTTCAATATCTGATCCTCCAGACAATGAGAACTCAAGTGCATCTGAATATTATGGAAACAATGAGGCAAAAAATCCAGGGACTGGAGATAAAATTTGTACAAATGAGATATCCGAAGCAAAAAATGGAGATGACATGACTCTTGCTTCCTTTTGCAACAAAGTGAAGAAGAGAAGGTTTAAACCCTGCCAAAAATGGTAAATATCATTTGCTCTCCTTGCCGTATGAAGTTTTTGTAGCTGAGGGAATAGATTAACTAACTACGTGACTCTGGCAAAGCTATGAAACTCCGGCAAACTGATAGATTTAATCATCTGTTTTGATTTTAGCTGGAGTTTAGTGGTTCTTGTATTCAGCGAATGCTGAGTGATTTGGATGAGTTACAGCCCGTATAGCGACACCTAAACCCACATTCTCTTTTGATAATGTGTATGGCCTTTTGAATTGTACACTGCGTGTTCTTTTTAAATTTGGCACGCTTTGCTGCCTTGTTCTAATTTTTAATAGTGAGCAAATGATTAGCTGGCTACTTGTAGAACATCTATATGATAAGGGGGTTAGCAATTAAAATTTTTTGTTTATCTTGAATTTTTCTGTGTCTAAGATTGTTTTGAAATTGCTGATCTAATGATCTTAATTGATGTTCAAATTTATTTTTCCTCAGCCCAACAATTTGAGTAAGTCTTTCATCCCATATATAACTTTAGACTCCAATCTCTCTTTAAAAGCTCTTTCAATAACTGACTAGCGAGCACTACAAAATGAATTTTTCAGAAAGTTTTTTCCTCTACACCGCACTAATGCACTGAAAAGAAAAATCATAATTTTTTCGGTCAAAGAAGGAGAAACTTTTTACCAAAGTTGGGAGAGATTCAAGGATCTACTCTAGTTCTGCCTACACCATGCTTTTGAGAATTGGACCTTGGTAGGATTCTTCTATGACTCTTTGCCCACTAGACTATGTCAGTTTGTCAAAATGATGGCTCAAGGAGAGTTCATGGGTAAGAGTCCGGAGGACGCATTCAATTTTTTTGTCACCATATCTGACAGTTTCTAGATGTGGGAGTCAACCTCCCCTACCATTGTTGAAGCCAAACCATCTACCACCCAAGGGGACAAGTATGTCTTAAGAGATGATGATGATCTAAGAGCAAAAATGCCCACCCTATCTCGAAAACTTGAAGCTTTAGATATGAAAAGAGTTTATCAAGTTGATGTTGGCTCTCTCACAGAACAAGTGTGTGCAATCTGTGCGTTGACAGGACACCCTACTGGGGAGTGTCCTACCATTCCAGCATTCAAATAAGTTATGTTGGAGCAAACAAATGCAATTTCTAACTTCAATAAGCCTTACTCCAACCCATACTCTGAAACATACAATCCAGGGTGGCAGATCACTCGAACTTCAGTTGGAGAAACACATAACCAACTCCTATGAACCAACAACAAGGTTCACACCCACCACCTCAAGGACCTCCCACGTATCAATCATACCAACCACCACAAAAGAGGAACCTTGAAGCTACCTTGAATCAGTTCATGCAAAGCCAAATAAACTATAACAATAGTTCCACTTAGGCTTTTAATGATTTCAAAACTCAGACCACTCAATCTTTTGAGGATCTTAAAAGTCACATCCAAAGGTTGACCCATTCCATGACCACACATGAAAATGACAAGTTTTCTGCCCCTACCAAAATCACCACAAGGGCAATTTCAGGTGGAAAATTGGTCAATCATAGAAACTCTACAAGACCAAGCCTAAGTTGTCACTATACTGAGAAATGGCAAGGTGATTGACAAGACCATTAGAGACGTGCTAATTCTCAAGCCAAAATCTGAGTCAATCCTAGTCAACTCACCAGTTGAGCTTGAACCAGAAGAACCTGAGCCTATGATTGAACAAGAGCCAGAACCTTCAGAGAAAAGAGGACCTTCGTGTCCTATTCCTGCTCCTTTTCCTCATAGACTCAAAACTGTACAGAAGTTGAATAATCAGCCTGAAATTTACGAGCTTTTTAAATAAGTAAAAATCAACATCCCACTTCTGGATGCAATCAAATAGGTTCCATCTTATATCAAGTTTTTGAAAGACTTGTGCACAATCAAAAGAAGTCAGAATGTTAAAAAAAAAGCCTTCCTAATAGAACAAGTCAGTGCCCTACTTCAATACAAAAATCCTCCAAAATATAAAGATCCAGGGTGTCCGACTATGTCGTGTGTCATTGGAAACTTCAGAATTGAATAAGTACTGTTAGACCTTGGAGCTAGTATCAACTTACTCCCTTTTCAGTTTACCAGCAGTTGGGTCTAGGTGAATGATTAACCCTAGTTAAGGCATAATTTAATTAAGTTAATATGTCAATTGTGTTAGTTAAATAAAGTTAAACTAGTCAAAATAAGCCAAATTAGGGTTAGTGTGTGAATTATGAATAATGCATTGATTGTTGTTCTTTTCAGAGTTTTGTGCGTCAAAGTTACGAATTACTGGGGAGCCAATTGCGTCAAAACTACAAACTACTGAGGAGCCAATTATCAAAGTTACAAATTATAGGGTGCCAATTATTAAAGCTACAAACTATAAGGTGCCAATTATCAAAAGCTCAAAAGGGAGGAGGACCAAAGTGTAATTCAAGCTCTCCCTTTTTGCCTATAAATAACACCCCCTTTGGTTTTGTAAAGATCATCTTTTTTTCCTTGTATCATCTTTCTTGTAAAGAGCATATTTCTTGTAAAGAGTATCTTTTGGTAGTGAAAAACCCTTCAAAAATCATTATTACTTTCTTGTATCATCTTTCTTGTAAAGAACATCTTTTGGTAGTGAAAAACCCTCCAAAAGTCATTATGACTTTCTTGTATCATTGCTTTCTTGAAAAGAGCACCTTTTGGTAGTGGATAACCCTCCAAAAGTTATTATTGCTTTCTTTTCTTGTATTATTGTTTTCTTTTAATTTATTGCTTTCTTTTATTGTATTATTGCTTTCTTTAATTTATTACTTCATTTTATTGTATTATTGCTTCATTTTATTGTATTATTGCTTTCTTTTAATTTATTGCTTCTATTTATTTCCATTGTCTTGAGCTTCCTTCTTCCCTTAGAGGAGTGAAACTCTACCACTTTTCTAGAGCTTTACCAAAGCCGTGAAGGGTGGAACGTGATTCACTCATTCTTTGTCGAAGATTGACTCCTTGTGTAATATGTTTTACCTTGCAACTCTCTACTTATAGGGATGAGCATCACTCACTTTTCTAGCTTTACCAAAGCTATGAAGGGTGAGTAGTTTCTCATCCAATCTTTAGTAAAAGATGATGGACATGTATAATTTTTCGGAAGTTATAATTGTGCATTTCGTTTATGTTTAGCTCCAATCTTCATTTCTTCATAATGTCTTCTCATTACATTGTTGTCTTTACCTTAAGCATGAGTAGCTAAACCTTTAAGTTGGCTAATTCAAGGGAGATCTCCTCTTGGGTATGTCATTTCAACTCATTTTCCTTTCTTATCTCAAAAACGATGGTTCGGTTTGACTGGGTAGAGGGTGGACGGGATTGTGAGTCTTTGATATCCTGTAGACTTGTCACGGGTTATGCTTGGATCCTCATTTCCATTTTTCCCTAGCTTTTCACGATTCAATCGTACATCTATGCTCTATTGGAGGAAGGATTCAAGTTGACTTGGTAATCCCATTGGAGTGAACCCTTTGGATTAACCAACATTTTTCCTATTCCAATTTCGTTAAGACAAAATCACAAACCAAAATTCAACAACAAAAGATTTTACACTTTGTTTTTCACTAGAATCACCTTCAAAATGATTCACCTCCTTTCCTGAGGAGACGACCTTGGAATACAATTCGAAGTAAAACACGACAAGCAAAAGTCTCTCTGCGCTTAGGGAGCATTTTTGTTCACACGCACACACATTTGACATTTCATTAATCTACCATTCCGTTGCCCTTTCTTTTGACAACATTCCAAGGGAGAGTGATTGTGATGCCCCTAAAACTGGGGTCTCCTTGACCACCCGCCAACCCACGAAAATACCCGTGGTTGTCGTATAACCCGATATCACGTCCCTATAACTGGGATTTCATCCCAAACGAGGATCCGTATTTACTTTAATTCATTTAATCCCATCAAGGTTTAACATACTCCAATATATCTCATTTAAGGTTCATTTGTATCATTGGAAGCAAAGAACACATAGCCCAAAGACATGACAATGCATTCTGAAAATTTCAAATTTTTGGAAAACCTTCCGGAAGATTTTACTTACTAGAAAAGTTTTTTTGGAAGGTTTCATAGACCTTCTGGAAGGTTTTCTCTACTGGAAAAAAATTTATATTAACCTTCCGGAAGGTTGTGCCTACTGGACCAAAAGTCTACATTAACCTTCGGGAAGGTTGTTTCGACCTTCGGGAAGGTTTTGCCTAGAATTTTATGCCTTTTCAAATTTTCATTTTCAATCCACTCAAAACCTTCCCAAGTCTATTCCAAACATGTATAATAACATTTTCTACATTATACATGATCCATACAAGTTCTATTACAATTAATTTCATATGATTACAAGCCCATTTACACAATTACAGGCTCAAAATGGAATTTTACAATTGTTTTACAAAAATTTGTCTCCAAAAGCCACAAACCGGCTTTTCTTCACCCTTGAGGCCCTGAGTGCGAGTCCTCTCCCGGTACAAATCCCGCACCTGAAATGTTTCCCGTATAGGGTGAGACAACGCCCAGTAGAAAATTTCCTACAAAGGCTACTGCCCAACCTAAATGCATATGCAATGTTCATATACAACATTCACAATCATATAATCATTTCAACCAAGAGTATACATGATTCATGTTGGAATCTATTATGCCATGTCATGAATGAAATGAGATTCACTCACGCACCTAACCCAAGCCTTCACCGGCTCTCACCACACTATGCAATGCAAGTGTAACATATTTATCCTTGATGAATACATCCAAAGATCTTTTTTTTGAAACAACTCATGTGTTTATAAAATCCAATTCATTTATGGATGTTTCCCATCAAATGAATCATTTATATAACCAAAAACCATGTGTCTTTATTTGGGTAGTGGACTTTAGGTGTTGCGTCGCCGTCTCCATACACTGATACACTTTTTTGGACTTACACCGTCGGAAGTGTATAAACTAATAGCCGGGCCTTGCACCCGAGGGGGGATCTATCCCTTCTTGCTATGCCCGACACAAGTTTTTCATGTATGCATCCGTGTGACTCAGTAGGATATTCAACCCCACTTTCCCGAGCCCACCCATCAAACACCAAGTATAGTGATTGATCCAACCATGTACAACATACACCTACACTCATACCTAAGCCCTTGAATGTGATGTTTTCATACGCATGCAATGTAATGAACCATTGCAATACCAATGTCATGCTCAATGTAATGAATGCCAATGAGCTGAATTTAACCATTCATTTCAATATGTGTCCTGACAATTTATATCACACAAATATAATCAGCAATATTAACAATTCACAAGCTTGTTACACATAATCCATGCTATAACAACTTAAGTTCCATTTAGGCATTTTATGCAAAATACCATTAAGTCACAACATTTCCCACATCATTT